TACAACAAAATCTGTTAAATATTACAGTTTGCAATTAGTTTTCGTATCGGGCGCCGTAGCGACACCGCTCGAGTACAAAGAGTTAATGTTTCTATTGATTTCAAGATTGATTAACTTTTTTCTGATATTTCGACTACTTTCTGTAACAGTGCATAATACCTATATTCACAAGAAATATTAGAGAAGCATTTAGGACTGTGAGTTTGGGTAGGAGGATGTGGTTGAGAATATATGCAGCCACTAGATTCCCTTTTATGCCTATCTATGGTGGCTTCCCTGTGAAGTTAACGACATACGTTGGCGAACCAATTCCATACGATGGAAATCTCACACCTGAGGAGCTACAAATGAAGGTTGAAAGAAGTTCAGAATTAACAATAACTAGACTGCTGATTTCTATACAATATAAAACATTCGTGATATTTAAAAATTTACCATACTGTCGATATTCTACTCAATTCTAAATATTAGTCTTTATATTTTCTGCGCGATCTAAAAATAAAATATTAAGTGACAAAATTTCGCATTTTTCAGGTCGCTGGTGCGCTCAATGATCTGATAAGTCAGCATCAAAGAATACCTGGGAATATATCATTGGCTTTATTAGAGAGGGTGTATAAAGCAAAGAAAAAGGAATCATAAGTATTAGCATTTACTATAATATTCTAACGTTTTATCTCATCAAGCCAAGAACTATTACCGTACTTTATTAAGTTTTCGGAAGTTATACATTTTACTCACGGCGCTGGTTGTTAATCGTCGAACGACATTTATCGAACTTAAGAGCTTGTGAAAGTTGAGGTCCATTCCTTCCAAGCGAGATCGTACTTAAGTTTTAAATCTAATAATAGTCCGTCTTCAGTTATCGCGTAGAATTTTTATATGTTAAATTTTTTTATATTTTATCTATACAGAGTTTGTCAAATAAATATCGGGGCAATTGTGTTTGGCCTTACGCGCAATTAGTGACTGGGCGCATCGTCACAATAAGCGTCCAGGCATCGGCGATAGTCCCGATACTTATCGGACAAACCCTGTACGACTAACAAAGTGTTAATTCATTTTATACATATCGTTTTTACTACAATCGATGATGCTATTCGGACAATTTGTATATGTATTTTCTATTGTCAGCATTTAAGGTACGATTGTGATCTTTTCGTAATTCCATGAAATGTCAGCACTAATATTTATTCTTTTATTTATTAACTTTATACAAGAGGAGAAGAGAATAAAGGTCTGAAAAACTGATATCTATTTATATTATTTTAAACACCGGCAATACTCATGTTTCATTCTTTGTATAAAATAAATTAGAGTTAAGTATACAGTAATTAAGTAAAATAGAAGTGAGGCAAGATTGAGTGAGTCGTGTACGAAAACGAACTCATTTCTTGGGTGCAATGAACGATTTATTCAAATTTACCGGGACCGGAAACGTCCTCATCGATCGTTGCCTGTCAACCGGAAGAATCGTCAACTGCTGCGAACCTGGCGGCGGCTTTACCAGTTAAAATTCCTTTTCCGAGTCCCGAGGGTATCCGCTCGTTCGGGTTCGGGTATCTTGTTATATTCAGCGAACGGCATTGCACTGGTTGGTGTACCTATCGTTTTTTGCCAGCCACCCACAAGGGATCACGTTCACGCGAATTCTGTTTACCGGCGCGGAGTAATAGACTCGATTAAATAAAACTGATCCGCCTGTTCGTCGCCGACCCGTTTTTCGTGTCATAAAATACGTAGTCATGGGCGTGGATGTGGAAGTTCTTTCTCCCGGAGACGGTAATTATTCTGCACACGATATATTCCGCTATCTCGCGTTTTACTTATCGCATCGCCTGTCCCTCCCGCTTCACCTCGTTGTCTCCCAAAGATCTCGTGTTTCCATCGATTTCGACGTAATTTCGGTCACCCGTTTCTTCGCTAATACCGGAAAATATAATCGCCGATGCATATTTATTTACAATCGGCAATCTGTTAATAGCATCCTTCCTCGCCGGTCTCCACCAAATAAGGCGATTTCGATCCTTGCCGTTCGATAGAATTACGAAAATCCGATTTCGTACAATAATAACGTAACAGTCTTTTTTTCTAATGGTGTTCCGTCTGTGTAGGTCAGACGTATCCGAAAACCGGACAGACCGTAGTCGTTCATTACACAGGTGAGCCATTTTTTATGTCCACGTGAACGCGTGGAGAATACTTCGAATTTATTAAAATACATTTTCAATCAATCTTGATTTAAGTGTAACGTAATAGAAATGATTTATAGATTTATTTCTGAATGTAATTTAGTTTCGCATCGTCATGATCGTTTTCAGGGACTCTCGATAATGGGAAGAAATTCGACTCCAGCAGGGACCGCGGAGTGCCATTTAAATTCAAAATAGGTAAAGGAGAAGTTATTAAAGGTTGGGACCAAGGAGTTGCTCAAATGTGTGTAGGAGAACGTGCTAGGTTAACTTGTTCACCAGACTTTGCCTACGGTAGCCGAGGACATCCAGGAGTATATCCTTT